ATATCTAGCTCGAAGCTGCTGCAGAAGCTCCACCATTAGACCCTAATGTTACGGATCAGCGAGCTATCATGAAGCTGAACATTAATGTTGGCAATCAGAGTCTTGTGGACCAGTTTGAGTAAGTTTTCTTTGATGTTGTAAGTATTGATTTATCGGTTTTTACGCAGGTGGGACATGTCCGACCCCAACAATAGTCCCGAAGATTTTGCTCGAAGCTTATGTGCTGAATTGGGACTTGGTGGTGAATTCACTTCAGCCATTGCCTATTCCATTCGAGGCCAGCTGCAATGGAATCAGAGGACATATGCGTTCTCTGAAAGTCCCCAACCTACAGTAGAGTGCACCTTTAGGTGTGTGTTATTGTTGAGGGTGACCTCTTCGAAAACACAAGCAATCCATTCAGGAACCCATCAGAAGCTGAAACGTGGGGTCCATTCTTGGAAACCCTCACTGACGCTGAGATTGAGAAGAAAATGCGTGATCAGGATAGGAACACACGACGGATGCGTCGTCTTGTTGGCGGCGGATTCAATTTCTAAACATCAGTTTTTGCATAATTTCATCATTAAGCATTTCTCCTTCAACCTTTTCATCAATTACACTATTTAGTCCATCTCCTGTCTTATTCCCAGTTACTCTTCTTTGAAGTGTTTGTTGTGCATGTTGTACGCATACGGCTACGTTCTGTACATGTAGTATTTATTTTTCATTTTTCGTCTCCCGTTGTAGTTGCTGCCCTTCAAGCTTGATGTGGCGCGCTACATTTTGTAACATTAGTAAGTTATAATAAAAAATAAAAATTTACAGAACACAATGTCGGAGGCACTCGACGTTGAGATGGAAAATGAAGAGACTAATGTGGCAAATGCGAAGTCATCGAAGGTAATTTGATTTTCATGGTATATTATTGGAAGCTAATTTGTAATTTGCAGGGTCGCGGTGTTGGTCAACCTCGTCAGCGAGCGGAAAGGATCACGTATGATATTGTAGAAACTGATGGTACTTCGACTGGGCCACAGCGATCAATTGAGGTTGGTAAGATTGCTTAGGAATATATTTATATTTTCTTTCTTTCATCCTCATCAATATTTTTATGTTTGCCCCTCATAAGCGCATTGATAATTTTGATCGTCTGAGATCATAGTTTTTTGTCTTCAAAGCATAAAGTACCTGGGAAGAGCTATTGAGAATTCGGAACGAATCCGGTTAACTGAATATTCGCGCGATTAACCTACAAATATTTGATTTTTGACAACAGTATCCATGGCTTTTACGCTAATCTTGCATTCTCCCCAGATTTCAGCTGAATTCGTCATCTTTTGGATGTAGATAGGTGTAGCGACATTGTAACATTCTTTTCGACTAATAGTGTTGCATCATTCTTTATGGTAGCAATTTGATTTATTTCTTCCAGGGATGGATTGTTTTTGTAACGAATATCCACGAGGA